TGCAGGCCAGTCACAACCCTGCCTCGGGGCAGGGGCCGGCGGGCAGGGGCACAGAGCTCCCTGCCAGGCAGGGCTGGACAGGCCTCCTCCCTCGGCCGAGCTACGTCTGCTTATTTCCTGAGCCTCCGTGTCTTCACCTTTAAATGGGTGTGTGAAAGCCCCCCCCCATACGTGGAAAGCCCCTCGGTGGGAGTTCCCAGCACAGGGGAGGTGGCTGGGGGTCTCCACGCCACAGCCCACCTGGTAGGTCTCGATGGGCCTCGCCTCCATGTTCAGGTCCCAGACCTTGACCGTGAGATAGTCCCGGGTGAGCATGTACCGGCCGCTGTGGCTGAACTTCACGTCGGACACAGAGGAGATGATTTCTGAGAAGAAGGAGCGGTTGCTGGGGTCCTCGGGTTCCTCGAAGACTGCGGAGGCAAAAAGAGACGCCCGTCACCGGCCGCTCCTGCCACGGCCTCGGAGCCACACACGGCTGTTCCCACCCTGTGCGCTCGCTGTGCGGTCCTCAGTCGCCCATCAAACCTACCGTCGGGCGCCCGCCCAGGACGGAGCCCGCCAAGAGGGGAGAACCAGCAATGTTTACCGAGCACCGATTCTGAGCCAGTCCCTGCCGGGCCCTTTCTCTGGATTACTGCATCTCACCCCCCATAAAACAGTATTTTTATTCCCACTTTATAGCCAAGCAAACGGAGGCACAGGTGGCTGAACACCCAGCCGGAGGTCTCGGAGCTGGAAGGACGGGTGGAGGCGGATTCTGAGCGAGCGGCACGGCTTGCTGCACTCTGCCGCCACCTAGTGGTGATGCTGCCGCCAGCACAGTGAGCGGTCCGGACAACCTCCGGGCGCTGGACCACGTCCCCCCGCGGGTCACCTTCAGCCTCTCCGACCTCTGAATTCTGACTGGTCATCGCAGAGCCGTGCTTCGTGCCCCGGGAATAATAACTGCACCGACGCCTTTACTTCCGCAGGCGTAAACACCCGTCATTTTCTTTGAAATTTCTGATACGGAAATTTCTTTACCATCTGACAGCAGAGTCCGCGGCAGCCTCTCCCGTGTCAGTCCCATCGCACTCACAGCTGGGTGTCTCCCGGGCGTGGTACGAGGACCGGGGTCTCCCCTCTCCCTGATGGACCCGCCAAGGGCATTTCCCGGTCATTACTGCTGCCGAGAGTGTAAAGGCACCTCCCAGAGCCCTGTCACTGTCATGGGCTCGATCCCCCCGCCCAGTTATTTTACAGTTGGAGGCTCTGAACCCACAGAAATCGTACCGTACTTGTTTTTAACGACTCCGCGTAGTTAAGCTCTCTGGGCCCTACTGGCTGCCTGCTCTGTGGGTGTCTCGTGGGGTCACTACTGTCACACACAGGGGCCGGGTGGGAAGTGCAGGAAGCCACCCATTGTCTTCACTAGCAGAGGAGTGCAAACAAGGAGCCCGGAACGCTGGTGAACCTCGAACCCACGGCAAGGACCAGAGTTATGCACGGATTGTCTAGTCCAGACAATGGGGGCTCAAGCTATTTCCTGGCCAAATAGTCCCAGAGTAAATCCTTCTAATATTTACTGACCTTTAAGATAGTCTGTCTGTTACTGCAATTACCTGTCTAAGAGCTAGATGTGTATCCAATATTGAGTAAAAGGCTGGCGAGGCCTGGGCACCGGTAGAAGTTCTTTCTCTTGCATTGGGCTTGCCCACCCGGCCCCCAATATTTCCAAAGTATTATTTCTTGTCTCATCTCTTTCATTTTCGTGCGGCCCCTCCTCCAGATCCTGAACCCTGAACCACGCAGGACGTGGGGGATCATGCACAGGGCCAGATGGAAAGCACATCCCCCCAATAGCCACAGTGGAGTGACGGGGCCCAGGGCGCCCGCCCAGGCTCCAGGCACCTGCGCATCTATGGAAACACAGGCAAAGGCGAGGCCAGTGGCGGCCTCCTCTCCGGCCCCACAACGCGACGGCGTCCCTCCTTGCTTAAACCCCGCATGCTCCCAGCACCCACAGGGCCAAGGTGCAGGCTCCTCATGGGGCTGACGAGCTCCTTCCTAATCGGGCCCCCGACTTCCTGCTCCAGCCTCAGACACAGATCCAACCTCCTGCAGCCGCGTCCAACCCTTTCCGGCCGGGGCCCCAGAGCCCGCAGCAGGGGAGGCAGCGAGGCCGGGAGTGCGCCACCTGAACGGCCCTCTCTCAGGGCCGCCTTGATGAGGGCCTCCTGCCATGACGCCTGGCCCTCGCCCGGCCACGTGTCAGGCAGCGGAGCAGAGCAAAGCTCTGTGTGACCCCTTGACCTCTCCGAGCGCCAGTCTGCTCACCTGGCGAACAGCATGATGGGGCCTGCGGAGGCAACACCTCGGAGCCCCCCCCCACCCCCCGCGAGGGACTGGAGTGGCTGTTTAACAAAACCGTAACTATTTTTACAGTTACTTTTATTCGTGATTTCTCTCCCTGCAACTTCCTTTCCCATTTTTAGCCCCAGTCTTTCCTGCCAACTCCTATACATCCTTCTGAACCTCAACCCAAAAGCCCAGCTCTCTATGCATCTTGTCCAGATGCTCCAAAGAAATCAAATTTGCAGCCCCGTTGCCCACACAGCCCCAGGGTGTCCTCGTGTGTGGTCACCTCCTGGGGCTGTGAGCTCCCCGGGACAGGGGTCTGGCCTCTGTCATCGGTCATCTTGGCATCCACCAGTGGGGAGCGGGGCCAGGCCACTCCTGCCACACTCCCCTCTGGCTGCTTTCCCGTCTGAGAAACCCAAGGCTCTCTGGTCTGTGCATCCCTCTGGATACGGACACCCCCCCCACCCCCGCCCGCCGCCGTCCAGCCACACGCCACTCTGAGCTCCCCGCCCCGCTCCCGCCTCTCCCTGCTCTGCCCTGGCCACATGGGGCCTCAGGGTCCGGCTCCAGGGCCTTGGCGCTGGCCGTCCCCTGTTGGGAGACTTCGTCCTGGCTCTGCCCCCCAGACATCCGGAGCCTCGCCGGCAGAGGGTGGCTGGTCTGGAGCACCCACCCAGCCTGGCAGATGGACCTGGCTCGCCCACAATTCCCACGAGAGTTCTTAGTGCTCAAGGCTTCTGTGAAGATGGAGAAAGAGCACAGGTCCATGGGCAGGAGACTATCGGAGCCTCTATCCTCGTTCTGCCTGGCTGTGTGACCCTGGGGCAGTGTCTTAACCTCTCTGTGCCTCTATGTGGTAAAAAACAACCGCCCCTCCAGGTGTCTGCATCCCAGTCCTCGCAGCCTGCACACGCTGCCTCTCACGGCAAAAGCCTTTGCAGACGGGACTGAGGACCCGACGGCAGGGACTGTCCCGGTCTCTCCGACGGGCGGCTGTGACCACCAGGTTCTCCTGAGACGGAACAGGGAGGCCAAAGGCGGGAGAAGAGAGGGGGCGAGGGAAGCGGAGGTCGGAGTGCAGGCGCCTCTAGGAGATTCTCCCCTGAAGCTTCCGGAAGGAACACAGCCCAACCAGTACCTGGATGTCGGGCCTCTGAGCTCAAGTTGTAAAAGAATATATTTGGGTTTTTAAATATATTTTTAGTTGATGTCAGAGAGGAAGGGAGAGAGAAGGAGAGAGAGGCACATCCATGGTGAGAGAGAATCTGACCGGCCCCCACTGGGGATCGAGCCCGCAACCCGGGCCTGTGCCCTGGCCCGGATCACAGGTCAATGCTCAACCATGAGCCACGCCGGCGGGCATATCTGTGTTGTCTTAAGCCGAATGCGTGGCCCTTTGTCACAGCCGCCCCGGGAAACGAATGCCCGGTCCCCGGTCTGTAACATGAACAGCACCAGCCTCCATCGCAGGGCAGCCCTGAGGATGCGCGGTGAGCGCAGCACAGCCCCCATGTGCAGTAAACACCCACCAGCCTCGCTGCGGCCACTTCACCGGCACGGGGGGGGGGAGGGGCAGCGCACAGTAGGGGCCACCAGGGGTGGCGGCCGCCATCACCACCTGGTCCAAGAGCTCTCAGCCCGGGCACAGCCCTCCTTTCGGCAGACTCCGCGCTGGTAAAAGCAGAAATAACTGTCTGTTTTGAGGACTCATGTACAGTCGTTTCCATGGCGACGCTGTCATAATAATGACCAGCAGACAAAAGACCTCGATTTCTACTGCTTCGGAGAAAGACAGGAAGCGTTGGGCCGGGCAGCAGCCACTGGGCACCCCAGCTCTGCCCTGAGCCTCAGTCTCCTCATCTGAGCAATGGCAGCTCGGGTGCCCTTCACTCAGAAACCACCATCTCACCTACCGGGAATGTGACGCCTCGAGCTGCATCTCAGGTGTCACGCTCAGCCGTCCCCGAGTGTGAGCGGCAGCGGGGTAAGTGGACGGAAGGGGGACGTAAAGAGAGAGTTCTGACCTCCGAGTCGCTTTAAAAATCTAGCTCAGCCCGGCTCAGGGGATGAGCATCGATCTTTGAACAAGGAGGTCCCGGTTCAATTCCCCGTCAGGGACAGGCCTGAGTTGCGGGCTCCATTCCCAGTGGGGGGCGTGCAGGAGGCAGCCGGTCAATGATTCTCTCCCATCACTGATGTTTCTCTCTCTCTCTCCCTCTTCCTTCCTCTCTGAAATCAATAAAAATAGGCCCTGGTTGGTTTGGCTCAGCGGATAGAGCATCAGCCTGTGGACTGAACGGTCCCGCGTTCGATTCTGGTCAAGGGCACATGCCCGGGTTGCCGGCTCGACCCCCAGTAGGGGGCGTGCAGGAGGCAGCTGATCAATGGTTCTCATCATTGATGTTTCTATCTTTCTCTCCCTTCCTCTCTGAAATCAATAAAAATATTAATATATATCTACACTAATAAAAGAGAAACATGGTAATTAGCGTACGACCGCTACCCTTCCCATTGGCTAATCAGCATATCCTTATGCAAATTAACTGTCAGCCAAGATGGCGGCCGGCAGCCAGGCAGCTGGAAGAGAACATGAGGCTTGCTTGCTCCAGTGACTGCAGGCTCCAACGTTCCCCGCCTGACTTGCTGGCCTCTGAACTGCAACTCTAAGAAACTATGTACTATGTTGCAAATAAGAAGCTAAACAAAACCCCAGAAACCAGCTTTCAGCCTGCCGGGATCTCAGAGCTGGAGTTATACATTGTTTCGCTTATAGAACGCAAACAAACCAGATAGCTTCTTTCAGCAGCGGAAGCCTCAGAGCTAGAGCCAGAGCTAAAGCTGGCCCAGAATAAAAAAAGAAAAAAAGGAACGGTTGGGAGCTTCAGTCAACTGCCAACCTGAAAGCAGCCCTCAGCTCCTCACCCAGACTGGCCAGGCACCCCAGTGGGGACCCCCACCTTGAAGGGTGTGTGACCAGCTGCAAACAGCCATCATCACCTCATCCAGGCTGGCCGGACCCCCACCCTGATCCAGGACACCCTTCAGGGCAAACCAGCTGGCCCCCAGGCCTCTATCCTATATAGTAAAAGGGTAATATGCCTCCCAGCACCGGGATCAGCGGAGCCACGAGGCCTCCTGGCACCGGATCAGCGTGACAGGGGGCAGCGCCCAAACCCCCTGATCGCCCTCGCGGCTCTGTGTGCAACAGGGTGCGGCACCCCAACCCCCCC